CAAGTCTATAAATTACTAATCGTGCCCCTTCTTTTTATTCACTTGTTTTTGATAACAGATATGGAAAACTGATTTTTCTTTCTTTCATGTTTTCCCAGTAGTTATTTCTTTTGTGGGCATTTTTACCATATCTGTAAAGCTTAACATCATGAAAAAAAACTTTTTAAAGGAAGTTTCTTTCATTCTCTCTCTTTCTCTCTCTCTCTCATCTCTCCCTCTCCCCACATTTGAGGCCTTGCTGTCTATCTTGGTTTAGACCTGTATTAAACTTAAGTAGGCTGAATCACATAGCACATGTGTCATGGAGCTTCTGACAAATGGTTTCTATCACAAAATAGTCAACACTCCATTGACAACGTGGCTCCTGGAGGACAGAGCATTTTTGGCACTAGAGTTGAGAAGCTCTGATAGTAGTAGAGGAAGGGTGTTCACTATGAAATAGACATGGCATTCCATTTAATAATTTCCTCAATGATATTAATAGTAATAGTGTCTCAGAAATAGTTCTAGTTTAAAATGTATTATCCTACCTTAATTCTCCCATACAAACAAACAAAACTCTGTTAAAATAAAAAAATTTAGGGCTAAAAAAAAAAAAAAAAAACACGAAGAAATGTTGAAGGTATTTAAAATTCCTATCTGTCCCCTTTTCCTTAGAGTGCTTTCTGATCCCCACAAGGAGGCAGGACTGAGAAGGTGTAATGCATATGAAAGCAGGAAAGGAAGGGAGCCCTCTTGACAACAGAGGCCATTCTTTCTGGCCTCCACTGATGGGCTTCTGGTGAGCTGATTATCCAGAAAGTCCATTTGTCTCCACTGCCATCACAATATGAAAGAACCTGAGTGATGTTTCTATTACCATCTGTTAAAATGCCACCATGATGACTGTGCTGGATAGCTTTAGTGTCATCTTGACACACCTGGGTTGAGGGAGCCTCAGTTGGGGAATTGCCTCCATAGGACTGGCCTGTGGCTATGTCTGTGGGTCATCTTCTTGATTATTGAGTGATGTGGGAGGGCCCAGCTCACTGTGGGTGGTGCCACCCCTGGGAAGGTGGGCCTATGTTGCATAAGAAAGCAGGCTGAGCAAGGGCCAGGGGAGCAAGCCAGTAAGTAGCACTCCTCCCTGACCTGTGCTCCAGCTCCTGCCTCTAGGTTCCTGCCTGAGTTCCTACCTTGGCCTCTTGATAAGCTGTGACATGCGAGATGTAAGACAAATAAACCCTTTCCTCCCCAAGTTGGTATTGGTCAGAGTGTTTTGTCACAGCAATGGAGAAACAAACTAGGACAATGTCTTGTGCATAACTCCTTTAAGACCTGACATTTTTCTGATATTTCAGTCAAAGTATATCAGACAAGCCTTGCTGTGGAAAACACAGATTATTTGATTTCACAAAACTGTGGGCAACTTGAAACAGGAAATTCTCTGTTGTTGTCTTGTGTTCACCTGTGCCGCTCTACAATTCATTGGGAATCAAATAAGTGCACTACAGTCTTAGTTGACCTGTACTTGATATTTTAACCGAGTCAGTCAATATTAATTTTTCCATTTCTTTCTAATTGAAGGGATTCAAAATACATACTTTTAATAGACTTACCAATTAAGTAGGGTTTTTTAATTTGTTGTTCAGTACTCTTTAATAGAAAATACACTGTTTTATTCACTATCTTATAAATTCTAGATATCAGATTTTTTGTAAAAACTTTATTACATTTAATTATTTATATGTGTGCACGCATGTGTTTGAACATGTGTGTGTGTATGCCTGCACCTGCCATGGCATACATGTGGTTGTCAGAGAACAAGTTCCAGGATTCAGTTCTCTCGTGGGTTGACTTCCACTGTGTGGGTTCCAGGGATTCAACTCACGTTGTCGTCATTCTTGCTCTTACCCTCTGAGCCATCTCACTGGCCCTTAGATAACAGAATCTTTAAACAAGAATAGAAATATGGCATAACTTAGATGATGGAGATATATAAAAATACCTTAATTCATACACCCCAACAAGGAAGATTATTAATGAAGATAAAACCTTGTTCTATAACCATTTGATATCAAAATACCATGCTAAATTCTTTTTCTCTTAGGAAGAAATCATAGTCAATTCTTGATTGACTATTCTTGTTGCATTCTGTACAAATCTGCTAAATTCCTAAATCATATGTCATTAAAAGGATGAAAACAAATGCTTTTGGTTGCCTATAAAATTATGTTTAGGGCATTCATTGCTTCTATATAGGTCCATGGTAAGTTAATCTCTGAAAAACTTTGTTTTTTTGAGACAGGCTCTCCCTGTAGCCACTGACCAAGAACTCAGTCTGGCCTCCATCTGTCCCTGTGTGCTCCCCCCCATGTACTGTGTGTATGTGTGTGTATGTGTGTGTGTGTGTGTGTGTGTGTGTTGGTTTTGTTGAGCCAGAGTCTCAGAAAAAAATTTTAAAGCATATTAAATAAATATTTATATCTGATCAATATTAAAGTCATGTGGCCTGTTTTTAAAATGGAAAAAACAATTAGTGCTATCATCTTTCTATTTTGTAGTAGTCTACGCTAAATACAATGCATTAGTTCTGCACCTTACATAGGGTGGTATTTTGGTATTACTTCAGCCTGTTTCTTACTTTTGTCTAGTTTTCACAGATGATTCTTATTTTAATTTCATGCAAACGAAGAATTAGAGGATGCAGAAACGTTCTTTCATAGTTGTCTGAACTTCATTCATTTATTTACTTTTTGAGTTTCGTACATGCAGAGGAATAGCAGACATGTCTTGGAGACTGGGAAATCTATGTGTACGGTCCTAGAACTCTGGGAACTTGACCAGTTATCAGGCTGAGCTACCCTGATCTCAGAAAAGCATTGGCTCAGCTTATTCTAAAGAATGGACTAAACAGGAAATAATTTAAGTTTATTAGCATTAATCTTCAGAGAAAAGCATAGTTGCTTTTGAAATTGAACTGAGTGCTCTGTTTACAAATGAGTGTAAACTGATGGAGTCTCAGATTTGATAAATTTCTTTCTGGAACCTCACTGAGCCCATCATTTGAGCATCTTCTGAACATTTCTTTTTCCCTCTGAGTGGAAGTGCACATCCATTTAGAATACCTGGAATCCTTGTGCAGGCACTCACTGGCTCTAAACTGTCAGTAATGACATCTGACTCTTCTCCCTAGACTTACTTCTCCAAGGCATAGATTGTGATAAGCATACAACAACAGCCATAGCTGATGTGAATTAAATTTTATTTTGAAAAACATAATTGGCAGGATATTGTCAGACATACTTGAAAGGGTGTAAAAGATATGATGCCACCACATTTGAGAACAATAACTCACTGTCTTCATAGATATTCAAGTCCTATAATTATTCCACATCACTCCTATAGGCTATGTCACCATCATAAGATGAAGTCTTTGATGAGAATGTATGTGTATCTGACAACAAAATGAATAGAACTGCTATATCACTTTGTTACAAAGAAAAGCAGGATACCTGGGGGTTAAATAAACCTACCCAGGGTTATACAGTCAGTGAGCAGAGGTGTTGGATGGCTGAGTTTGGGACCCAACATGGATGCTCTGCTTCATTGCCAACAATTAAAATTAAATGAAAAACCTCTTGGCAATTTCTTCATGAAAATATAATTCAAGGTACTCTATGATACTTTGCCTGCTTTGAACAACTATTAATAACAAAGTTCAACTATTAGCTAACACTAATGAAGATTGCAGTCATTAATTTTGGTTGAAAATCAATATCAGTGGTTTGTATACATGGGCTGGTGGTAAATGCGTGGCTTGAAAAATCTTTTGAAATTTGGTAGTTGTAATTCTTGAATCTATCCCACAATTATAAGTAAACCCAGTATTTCAGATTATCATCCATTTCCATGGAGGGCCAAATGCCCTAGGTAAGCTGCATTTACCCATGTTTTCCTAGGGGTTAGGAGGAGTCTTTTAGCCATATCCTAGGTGGATAGAAAAAGAACACCAATAGTATTCAGAAAACTAAAACCACACTGAGAATACTAATTGAAAATCATATGAAGTCATGAGACTCACATAAGTTCATATTAAGTTACTTATTTCCCCTAGAATAGAGAATTTTATTGATACTTTAAATATTATGTAGAACTTCAAAGTACAAACAAATACGATATTAGGTAAAAAAAACAAAAAACAAAACAAAACAAAAAAACTTTTTCATGTTAAACTGGAGTAGACTTACTGATGGGTCTGAAAGAGAACTAGGATGTTTCCCAAGCACTTTCTATCATCTAGATGAACCTGGATAAGTCTCTATCCTCCTTCAGAAACAAAGAGCATTCACCTCCAGATTTCAGTCAACAGCCATTTCATCATTTTCTTTTTAAACAAACCAGTAAAGTTTCCAAATGTTTTAGTTGATTTTACATTTTCCTATTTCAGATTATTTACTAAATTATTTCCTGATCAACCTGAAGCTGTAGTTCCATTCTGGGACAGAATACTAGACAGGCTATTCTGCTGATGAGCTACGGTAAACCCTTTCTGACTCTGAAATTATAAATTAAATTACTTAAAACCTTCTCTTAAAAAGTATTCTTGGACAAAGATAAAGATGAAAAGTGAATCCTTTTCTGAAAGCACCTGAGTTTTCTTGTAGTTGTTTTGGGCCTACATTAGAACACTGTTGTCCAATTGTATATAGAAATCTGCCCACAGCAACTGCTCTTACTTCATTCTTTAAGCATTCTACTCATCTTTGAATAATCAAGGTAACAGGTCACAACACAGGTAGATCTATGAAGAATAAGGTTTCGAAGTCCTGGCTAAAAATAACTTCTGCGAGACACCAGATGGCGTATTAGAAAGCTCAGGGCCAGGTTTCTTAGGTTTGGTAGTAGGGACAGGACCAGGAGTGGACACCAAGTGCTACAGAGTGAACCCCCATTTATACAATGCACATCATACCTCAAGGACTTTCATAAGCTCTTAGGTACAGAGGAAGGAGCCTTACCCGGGCCTTCTGCTCCATTTCTAGCATTAATCTTTCATGTTGTTCAGCTATGGCCAGGGTTGCAGAATGGACCTTCTGATAGATCATTTCTCCTTCCCTTGTTTGAAAAGTGAACAGTCCTTCTCCTGTGTCACACATTCTGTAAAAAATGGAGAAAGAGAAAAGGATGGGACTTCATGGGTTCAAGTAACAGTTCTCCATGTCAAAGATGCCTTTGCCCTCAGGTCACCACCTCCCTACTGTCACACGAGAGGGAACTCATGGCAATAATCCATACGTATTTGAATTCTTAAAGATTCACCACAATTTTCAGGAATAGGTAAAAATGATTTAGATCATTGCAGCGCTTGCCTTAACATTAAGAGAATAAAAGCTAACATTGTTTTCTTGAAGCATTTCATGTTTATGATATAAAAACATTGCAACCTTTGAGTTTATACCACTTCAATAGACTTAAGAAAAATTAGTTGTTTTATATTCATTGAAACCAGAGAAGACAATTCTATTTCTTTCATATATTTTTAGTTCTTTACATTTTCTTTTTGTTATTAATGGATGTCCACACATAGGCCGAGTCTTATATTTAACAACATAATTCTTAAATAAACCTTGGCATAGTCAATGGAATGATGTGTAATAAAGGAGACTCTATTTGAATTTGAGACTATTTACCTTGAAGTTTCTGTCAATATCAAGGGTATGAACTTAGGCAAGATGCTCAACCTGCCAATGTCTCCTTTCCTAATCTTCAAATAGGAATATTAGAACTATTTCACAAGATCATAAAATGAAGTCTGAAGAGTTGACAAATGAACTCTTTACAGTGCTGCTTAGGACACAGTGAATATTCAAAAATGTTGGCTGTCCTTATCATAAAGTTTGGAATTATTCATAAGGAAAGTTGAGAACTAGTTGAATAAGTATCTACCACTGGTTTTATTTCATTTTTGCTTAATACAAACAATTTTACTATTATGATATAGTATTAGGGGGAAATATTTGTACAGCTATTGCTATAGTTGAAAATATATAACATTTAAATTCTTATGATGGAATTGTAGAGGAAATATCAAAATATAAGTTTGTTTTCAATTATTTAATGATTATTCCCTCTTAAGACAATTTTCCTTGGAAAAATTGATTGACAAATTATTAGATGATAGAATTGTAGGTCAGTTTTATTAACAAAGGCTAATTCTAATATGAAACATTTTAATCAATATTTTAGCTCAACCTTTAAGTATAACTGAATACCTACAAAATTATTGTGCTGTTAATAGTCTGATATTAAGTATTATGTGTTAAGGGTTATGTGTTGCTGGCTTGGGGCTGATACAACAAGATATTTATAGGTTACAAACATCAAAATATTCATGGGCCCAAACTATTTCTTCAAGCTTCAGAACATTTTAGATTCTTCTCTGTAACTCTCCAAGGAGATTTTAGCAGAAAAGAAATTGTCTCAGGAGGCTTCCAGCATTGCCCAGGCTGTCACTGCCATCCCTTCGGGCCCTATCCAGCCAGTACTTAGCGTCTGTAAAAGCGATCTTAATAAAATTCACACAGCGTGAAATGGAAAGTCTGGGGGGAAAATGAAGAGTTTTCACAAAGTGAAACAAATGAGCTATCCTTGTTGATTGGGGCACAAGGAAATGCATCAGTTACAGCGAAACCATTGATAAGTCCTAGCACATCTTGTTTGAGGGTGAGGTTTTGTTCATTGTCAACTGCAAAATACTGCTTATTAGCCTTGGGGAATGAGATAATGAAGGCATAAATTGTTATTTCATACTCAGTCATTGAGATGTGAAGTGCTGATGCCTGTCCACTTCCTGAGAGTTAATTCTGCGCAGTGGGGGAGTCTCAGTGCTTACAGGAGGATTTTCCCATTCACTGAAATAACTACTATACAGTTTATCCTTTGATCAAGGAACAGACATTTTAATATATTATCACAAAAAACAAAGAGATGTTAAGTAGGAGTTGCTTCTTCACCATGATTACGTCAGTCCAGAGGAAGGTCAAGATTGTTATACGGCCTACTCATGCTTGTGTCTTCTGCCAGCCATGTTGGCATGATCACATTGTCTCCTTGGTTTTACAAGTGTTGTCTGTGGAATACGCAGCATCAGAAATGGAGGCTTTTTCTTATCTGTGTGAAGAGTTTCATAGTAGAAATCCAACACTGAAAGATGGCTTTTGACTTGCTTTTCAAGGCAGGGTCCACAGACATTAATTTATGTTCAGAATCCAAATCAGAATCCGTATCTCAAATATGTTCCCAGGTGATTCATACACACATTTTGATGCCTGAGACTCAAACTGCCTTCCTGAACATAACTTTCCTTAAAGGGGGAAGAGCTAAAACAGAGATGAGCATAGCAGTAGAATATCTTAACTCTATGTCCACCAGTGTGCCATTCAAGACATGAGTCCGTTTATTTTGTGAAAAAGTGAAAATATGGATGGTATGTATTTGTCTTAACTGGAAACTAAGAATTTATTAATACTTATAGATGAGACTATCATCTCTTAATACTTAACATATTTGTACAAAGTTAACATTTTTTTCTTTATTAGTTTGATTTTTTGGCTCGTTTTTACTTATGTGTATATTTGTATGCATAATGAATATGTCATGAGTGTGCAGGTGACCTCTGAAGCCAGAGGCATCAGATTCCCTGGAGCTAGAGTTATAGGTGATTATGAGATGCCTGATGTGGATATGGGAACTTAACTCTGGTCTTCTGGAAGAGCAGCAAGTATCCTTAACTGCTGAGTCATCTCTCTATCTACCTCTTTATCTAAATTAAATTGTTAAAGGCTGTAATTTTTGAATTGCTGCTTGAGCTCTGAGGAATAGCCTTATAACAATTCGGATGTAAGTAGGATAGGCTCACTTGTTTTCACAGTTGCTTTGTTTAGTTTGGATTTGATAAAAAGGAAATTACATCAGTATAGGACTCAAGTGCCATCATATCACAACCGTCATATACATCTATCATAGTTTTCAAATAAGTCCTATAAATTAGACATTATTTCATACCCGAGAATTAAAAAGAGAAAAAATACACATAATTCATTACTTCTGGAAAAATTTAAGCAGCAGGGAGAAGAAAACCATTGGTCATAAAACTCTATTCAGATGAGTGTGGTGGTGCTCACTGGTAATCCAAGCTATGGGGAGGCAGAGGCAGGCAGATCTCTGTTAGACTGAGGCCAGCCTGGTCTATATATCAAGTTGTAGGTAAGGACTACATAGTGAGACGGTGTCTCAAAACAAAAGCAACAACAACAACAGCAACAAAAGACAAAATATTTCTGTAGTGTATGAGAACCATCAAGTAGAAATACGAAGCCCTATGTGAGGCAGTGGAACATGGGCCCAAGGAAGGCTCTAAACTATAAGTTCTCATCTATATAATGGGGCCAACAGGAATTAGACACGGGTTTAAAGAGTTAATTTATTTACTAATTCCTTAAATGAAGTAATGTGATGACAATAACCAGGACAGGGCTATTGTAGCAGGTCTAGGTTACTCAAACCTTGCATATTCATTCCATAGTAAAGACTTTTCAGGCTCATGGGGCTATTCTATATATTTCTGTATGTCTTGGGACTGCCTTACCACTTTAACCAGGTAGGTGATTAATAATGATGCAACTGGGTCATGAACTGCTTTGATGCTGATGATAGAGTCTCAGCACCTGTGGAGGGCCACATAGGTACTGAGTGTCTACATGGGGGTCCTCCAGCAAAGCCTTGCAGGTCAAGGCTCAGGTGAGTGTCTTGGAGAACATCACATCACAGACCCTCTTCTGAGAGAATTGTGTCCTGTTCAGTGCCTCTGGGAAGGGCCCTAGAACCACATCTTAAGTAAAACAGCTTTGCCTTGTGACTTTTCTAGAGACTCATGATGCTAAAAGCAAGCTTGGGTACCCTACTAAACTGACACCTCTAGTGTGTGCTAGGTTGTCAGTATATATCAACATGATAAGAATATAAAAATTCCAACTGTGGTGGCTAATGCTGGTTGTCAATTCGACACAGTTGAGGAGAGAACCTCAACTGAAGAATTTCCTACATCAGGTTGGCCAATGGCCATTTTCTTGACTGATAATTAATGTAGGAGGGTCCAGCCCACTGTAGGCAGTACCATTCCTAGACAGGTGGACTTGGGTCACATAAAAAAGGTAGCTGGATGTGAGCCTGAGAGTAAGCCACTAAGCAGCTTTTCCCATGGTCTCTATTTCAGCTTCTGCTATAGGTACTTGCCTTGCATCCCTTAGCTTCCCTGGATAAGGGGCTGTAACCTGTAAGGTGGAATATTTACCTTTTTTTGAAGTGGTGACTTTGAAATGTCAATCTTTCTCCCAAAGACAAGTGAAGGAAGAGAAAGCGACCAGTTAGTGAAGGGGACAGAGAAGAGGACAGGAGAGTGAGTGTGAGTGAGCACAGTGGTGTATGTGTGTGAACATGTCATAATTAAGATCATCATTTTGTATGCTCTACAGATTAATACAGAGAAGAATGGAGAAACTACTTAGAAATAAATGAGCAAAGTCTTGGGTTTGATCTCCAGCACCACATAAACCTGGATGATGGTCCATGCCTGTAATTTTAGCAGTTGGGAGGTAGAAGCTGGAGAATCAGAAATTCATGGGCATTCTAGGCCACATAGGCAGTTTGAGGTCCGCCTGGGATACATGTGGCCTTGTCTTAACATAAGCCCACAACAACAACAAAAAAAGACAATTTAAAACAATTCTCTGTAAGGTTATGGATAAAATTTTGCTCCAGATGTAACAGTGGACCTTCAGCATTTTTAAAATTTTCTCAGCAGCATAATTCCATTGTCACTGTGAGATTTGCAACATACTTAAAAGACAAAATATTTATCCTGCATGCACACAAAAAGGTTAAGTTCTCATCAGTAAAGTAGAAGCAGAGCAGATTCCTGAAAATTCTGGTGTTTCTCTTTAGGATTTAAAGTTTAATGTTTAATTATAGAGAGTAATGAAACTCTCAAAAGCACAGCTTCTCTTCAGAGCAATTTAAACCAATTAACACTTATGCGCTGCTCATAGTTTCATCTTTATTATCACTTGGCGAGCTAGTATTTTGCTTTCTTAGTAACT